TAAAAGCACATTTGATTTTGATGCTGATTATATTTATCATTCACATTTCTGCCTCCTGTTGAATTTTCTGAAGATTTTTAAAGATCTGTCTTTAAAGTTGTCTCTGCATATTGTTTCTGATTTTTCTTCTTTTAAAAAAAAAAAAAATCACACTACTTGCAAAGCAAACACTCCTGAGGGTTTTCCTAACTTAGGAGAAAGGAGAAAGACCCAACACACCATGGAGGAAGAATATTAGTTCAGAGTTCAGCCAAATGAAAATATCTGGGCCACCTCGTTCATTCCTCCGTGCCCAGGGGCCTAGATTTGGTTTAGGCTGGCAAGACTGCCACAAAAACAAATTGCAGGCACCTGAATCATGCGGCAGAGAAAAAAGCTTGATGTGGCACGGGGTGTTTTAGTGCCATGGCAACGGTCATGTCTTCTCGATTATTTAACGAGCTTCCCGGTCAGGTTATTCTGCCCTTTCTTTCCTGCACTTCTTGCTGCGGAAACCGAATCAGGTCAGCCTGGACGCATGAGTGCCCTCTGGCTGCCCCAGGTCTATTTGCAGCCCAATGCCTGCACCTCTGCCCGCGCTCCGGACTCTGCACTCTGCGTGTTGCCTTTGAGGTCCGGTTCCCACAAGCTCTCCCTCCTCGCAGCCTCCCTCCTTTCCTGCCCAGACCCTGGCTTCCTTATGCAGCTGCCCCATATCCACTCTGTGACTCAGAGCTCAGCGGCTGTGCCTCCCCCAGCACCTGTGGTCCCTATGGGCTGGCCGAGGTGATGGCTCCCTTGCTCTCCGCTCAGTGCCAGTGGGGAGGGACCGCCCTGGACTTGGGACACTCACTTTGTCAGAGTGGCCCTGGCTTCATAACTTCCTTTTTCTTTCATCCTCTGCCTGAGCGCTCATGCTCTAGGTAGCTTTCCCCCAGGAAAGCTGCACAGAGAAGCTTTGAGCTTAGAACTGATGTGGCCCAACCCCCATGTGACAGAAGGACAAAGATCCAGACAACTTTTTCATTCCAAGGACTCAGAAGCAAAAGGGCCTACCTGACAATTCAGTCTAACTAGCAGATTGGGGGGGGGGGCTGGATTGTATTAAGGAATGGGCAGTGCTAAAATGGGACTTGATAAAGTTGGGGGTGGTGGCAAATGCCCATAATGGCAACACCTGAGAGACTGAGACAGGAGGATCCCTGCAAATTCAGGAACAGCCTGGGCTACATGGCAAGACCATGTCTCAAACAACCAAAAATAAATAGGAACTTGGTGATTATTGAAGAGTCTCTTCACTATGCCCCGTCACTGTTAGCAGTATGAGCAAAGGCTACCAAGTAGAACCAGGACCTCAGCCACAGCTTCTGGGTACCTGGCAAGGCCCTAATGGGACTCCTGGATGCTGAGCCAGAGGCTCTTTCCTCCCAGGCACTTGGGGTGCTGCTGGGGTCCCCAGGGCAATCAGTGAGAAAGGAACCCACGTTCACCGAGCATCCCAAGTGCTCAGCACGCACAGCAGAGAACTGACAGACTTGTTTTCCCTAAATGTAGGAAGATGAATAAAATACAAGGAGCTTGTAAAAATACACTTATTGCAAAAGTGACATCGGTCTCGTAAACAGATGAGTCTTGTTCGTTCCCCGTGGAAAGATGGGGGTTGGTGTGAATCAGCTCAGCATTTTGCTTGCTGCAGTAGGACAGGGACTTCTGTGTCCCCAGCTGAGCCAGGGCAGCTGGGAAAGGCACTCCTCACTGCGAGTATGCATGCCAGTCCTGCCCAGGGGCTGAGGCTGGACACCCCATCTGTCCACTCTTCCTCAGTGGGGTTTGTCCAGGCACACAGGGCCCTGGGAGGCAGGAGCTGAGCCACAGTGCTGCCACACACTGTATGCAATGAAGGGCTTGATTTGCCAGCCCATGACCACCCTGGGGGGGGGGGGCGGGGGGAACGGAGTACAGCAGGGGAAGCCAAGGGAAGGAGGGCCTATGAGAAGGATTTTCTTCTTCTTCTTCTTCTTCTTCTTCTTCTTCTTCTTCTTCTTCTTCTTCTTCTTCTTCTTCTTCTTCTTCTTCTTCTTCCTCTTCCTCTTCCTCTTCTTCTTCTTTGCCTGGCTCAGGCTGCGTTAATGGCAGGTGTGGTTTGGCATGTGGAGCTGGGGATGGAACCACATTCCCACAAGCCTGACTGGGTTTGCCCAGGCAGGCACTTATACAACTGAGCTAACTGGCAAGCCCTTAGAAGGGCTTATGAAATGAGCCCTCGATGGAGAAAATAGTGCAAAAGAATATGATGGAAGCAGACCGGAGCCTTTCCCACACTTGTGGGAAAGTAGAACGACTTCAAAATGCTCTCTAGACTTGGATCACAGCAAAGCACTTTGCTAGAGCCCCAGCCTGGGAGAAACACACAGCGCTGTTTAGCAAAAACAGAATATTCTGATCTGCAAAGTCAGCACTGACAAAGCTCAGCCCACATCCGGCACCCAGCATGCTGGTGGTTTTAAGGCTGGAAATAAGAATTGGTCTGTCAGGGGAGAAGGCTCTGAATTTGTACAAAATGATCAGCAAAGGTGCACGTATTATGTTTGTTTGTTTATTTGGAGGTTGTTGTGTGTGACTCTGTGTTGTGTGTATGTCTGTAGTATGCAGAATCAAACCTGGGGTACTCTATCACTGGTCACCCCAACCCTTTTAAAAATTAATTAATTAGTTATTGGCCCTGGAAATTGGACTCAGGGTCTTTGCATTGAGTTACATTCCCAGTGATCACCCCTCCTCCTAGAGTGCTGAAAGCTGACATTACAGGCATGTGCAAGTATGTATCAAAGAGGTCATAAAACATTTAGAGCTCTGGGTACAGAGTCAAATTGGTAAAAGAGCAGACATGTGACCAACTGTCCCAGCTGCAGCCTGCCTCCTGAGCAGATGTGGGGAAAGTTCCCAGACAGCTTTCCTTCCTGTCCGGGCTGCCTGCCCAGAAGCCCAGGCTGCTACCCACCCTGCCCTGAAGGTGCTGCAGAGGCCTGCTCTGGGGGCGGTTCTGGGCTCTCAAAGTAACTTCTGGAAAAATCTGAGTGGTACAGTGCACACAGGGGAAATCTTGATGTAGCAAGGAGACAACTGGACATCATCCTCTAGAACACTGCGGGACAGGGTGGCACACACCTGTAATCCCAGCACTAGGGAAGCTGAAGTAGGAGGACTGCCTCGAGTTTAAGGCCAGCCTGGAATTCACATGGAGACCCTGTCTCAAAAAAAAAAAAAAAAAAAAAAAAA